GACATAGCGCCTCTAGTCCCAAACTAAGCAAAGCTTGTAATTTAAACAAACATGGCAATGTACCATTCTGCTTGCTTTGGCCGCTAAGCCCTTGGCCAACTCAGTAAACGACCAATCACGGACGATTGTCACTCAACCACAAAGTATCGAGTAAATTAAAAGATATTTTTTAATTAAAAATATTAACCAATAATATTTTTAGTTAGATCAAATATATTTTTAAAGTTAAGTTATACATAGATCAAAATGTATTTATTAGGTGATCAATATTAAAAGGCAAACTTGATATAAAAATCATCAAATTAACAAAATAAAGATCAATAACTAAAAAAGAGGATCAAATATTATTTTTGTTTACCAAATATTAAAAGAGTATGTTAAACATAAATATTATGTTACCTTAAATGAAGATCATTCATAATTTATCCGTAGATCAACTAATATAGACACAATAATTAATATAAAGATAAAATATAATAAAACACATCATTTATTTTTAATAGTGCACATACAAAAAAGATCAATTAGTTTTTAGAGGATCAAATAATATTGTCCCTTTTAATTTTAACTAAAATGCTTATTTTACTTCGAAATATTTTGTTTTTATTTGAAATCTAACTTGTCTTTATCAAAATTACAAATCTAGAGCCATTTTCAGTTTTGTTGTTAACGAAGCGTTGAATGGCGCGCCCGGAGAGGCTTAGTTCAAACGATCATTGCAAACGTTGTGATAGGGATAGAGACATGCGATTTTTGGTTTTACAAAGGTAATACGATAGAGAATAATACAAAGTAATAAAAACTACCGGTTATGGGGGCATTTTTTGGAGAAATTTATCAAATAACCAAAAAAACACGAATTTTTAAGCAGATTTTTTTCAAAAAGTGTCATTTTTTATTATTTGTTGGCCTTTTTTGTGTATTTTATGTATTTTTTTAGTATCGCCTGTTATTTTGTATTATTACTGTTTTTATTTTATCAGGATATACCGCTTAGTTTAAAAGCTATTACGTTTTCTTTACAATAAGTAATTGGAAGAAAAAAAATTCTATAAAAAATTTTAAAAAAATCTCAAAAAATTTTTGACCTCTTTTTTGTCGATAAAAATAGGTCTAGTTTCATCTATTTTCATATGTACACTTTAACGTGACTCACACTGTATATGAGCTAAAGCAGTACGGAAACTTAGCCCTTTCGGCGAGTTAAATACCTACACTTCAACTGAGTGTTAGGGTTGGCACTCTTAATCTTTATAAAATTAATAAGGTTCTTACTTACTTATTTATTAAAACGTTTATTTAGGTTTTTTAATTATCAAATACCTAATGGAATAAATTAATTGACTAAGTAGTTAACAAAAAATAAAACGTTAATTAGGTTCTATAATGATCGAATACATAATCGAATAAATTGATTAAGTACTATTAGAGGCCGGTAGAAGATCTATTCTCATAAATAAAATACCGGATACTTACTTTCACATACCTATTGCCTCATTTTAAATACAGTTCATCACTTAGTACAAAAGCGTTCGGAGCAAAAAACTTTATCAAATAGAACACATAAATTGTTAAAAAGAGTAATTACGTAATTTAAAAAGAACTATTACAAAATCAGATGTAAGCATCTATTTAAAAAGTAATATTTAATCATTTTTACAATTCAGAATTATTACGAAGTTTAAAAAATGAAAGTTCTGGTTTTGAAGATGCCGAGTTCAAGCAGCCGTTCTATAATGATCGAATACATAATCGAATAAATTGATTAAGTACTATTAGAGGCCGGTAGAAGATCTATTCTCATAAATAAAATACCGGATACTTACTTTCACATACCTATTGCCTCATTTTAAATACAGTTCATCACTTAGTACAAAAGCGTTCGGAGCAAAAAACTTTATCAAATAGAACACATAAATTGTTAAAAAGAGTAATTACGTAATTTAAAAAGAACTATTACAAAATCAGATGTAAGCATCTATTTAAAAAGTAATATTTAATCATTTTTACAATTCAGAATTATTACGAAGTTTAAAAAATGAAAGTTCTGGTTTTGAAGATGCCGAGTTCAAGCAGCCGTCCTACTACGCAATACACTCGTGGCATGTTTTTAAAAATACAGCGGACAGTGCATGCAATAAAATTATTATTAAAAACACAACGCGCGCGACACTCGCGACGGATGGACTGCGAGGTTCGCTTAGAGCTCGTGTAAAGCGTGCGTCTGTGTGCGTGAGTCTGATTTCGAGCGTTTGTATGAAGCTTCCGTACTGTTTGATTTATCTACTGTGACTATACCATTCGGTCGTCGAAATTTCGATAAGTCGCAGTCATTGGCGTACTTGGGGGGGGGCGACAATGTGCATCTTTTAACATTGAAGTTTGTTTTATTTTTTAAGTTTAAATAAATATATCCTACTAATAATTTATAATGTTTTTTTGTTACACTTTCACGCAAAAACTGCTTAACGGATTTTGATGAAACTTTACAGTATTATTGTTTCTAACCCAGATTAACATATGACGATCTGTGTCAAACAAAATTTCACGCGGGCAAAAGCTAGTTTATAAATAATTATTTTGCCGAAATGCCTATTCGAAAATGTATTCTTTGATATATCAATAGCAAATACACTTACTAAAGACATTGCTCTTTATGATTTACTAGGAAGGAACGTAACCGGTAGAAATCCACATTTATTAGATGGCTGGTTTAAAAATGGACCATCTTCCTATAAAGTGTATTTTATTTAATTACATTTCACTCAAATCTAAGACATACTTATCATTGTACTAGCTTTTGCCCGCGGCTTCACTCGCGTGAAATTAAGTTTGTCACAGATCGCCATAAATTATAGGCTATAATATAACATATTATATTATTCTGGGTTATAAAGAATAATACTGTAAAGTTTCATCATAATCCGTTCAGCAGTTTTTGCGTGAAAGAATAACAAACATCCATCCAGACATCCAAACTTTCGCATTTATAATATCCTAGTAGGATAAATGACACTAGTACCCTGAGCACGAATGTCTAGTAATCGTAATTAGTATTCCACGAGCGTAGCAGCGCTGTTTAGTTTTTCATAAAAATAAAAGATTACCGCACTATGTCGAGCGAGAACGATATTATTCGTGTTCCAGGTACAGGCTGCAGCAGTGGCGGATTTACCAGCAGGCTGAGTAGGCCTAGGGCGGCAAATTTTAAAGGGCGGCAGCGTAACATATACAAATTTTCGAAATTCCGAGAAGTTAAAATATTTATTTAACGAAAATCAAAATTTTATTGTGTATAGATAGAACAGTCAAATAAGATTGAAGTATTTTTTGTTTTCTTATTTATAAAATAAGATTGAAAATTTGCGAAACGTAGTTTGTGATGTGATATTTTGGGAATGGCGTTTTGACCAAACATATGGTCTTATTCAATGCAGGATTAAGTGCCCTTCAACCGTCATGAAGACCACTTTTTGATAGGGTAAGTCCTTTACGCGGTATAACCGGAAAACCGAAAAAATGCCTCTTTCGGGGGCCCCCACCACTTAAGCACAACTCCGTCGAAGTCGAAAACTTAGGAGAGTCTTAATGGGCAACCAATGAAGCCATTAAAACAATAAAATCTTTTGTAGGAATTATTTCCGATTTAAAAGCTAATTCTACTGGACTACCAGTAGGTAACTACTAACATTCTGTGACTATAGTTTCATAGTAGTAAAAAAATGATACTGTTTGATTAGACGGAAAGTCAGGTTCCCGTGCGGTCAGCTGGATTGTAGGCGATGCCGCGATGTAAAGTTCCTGTGTGCCGAACACTGTACAGCCACAGTCCTCAGTACGACGCTAAATATTGCTGGACGCGGACGCCGCATCCGCTAGCTTCTCCCGCCGCGCCTAAATTCTTATCTCTTATCAGTATAACTAACATGATACACCGCATTACCTCACGAGCACTGATAGTGTGTGATACGCGATAAACGATTTATTCCTTCGAACATTACTCATTATCAAATCCTCAATCTCTATTGTCCATTCGGATATGTGAGAACGATTTCCAAAAGTTTTGTAAAGTGCGCCAGAGGAACTAAAACAATGAAGGTGCTATTGTTGGTTGTATTTTGCGTCGCGTCAGTGAAATGTCAGTGCAGCACAAAAGAAAGTTTGAATATAACGAGCGGGGAACTATTCTCCAACGGTTCAGTGTTACACGACGGCATCGAATACGTGAAGTCATCCTGGTATGAGGTCGTGGAAGATGGAGTGTCTTCCCTGATGGGTTGCCCGTGCATTGGCCGCGTTTGTTTGTGGAAGTGCTGTCCAAACGGGCAGTCTCTGAATTTTCTGAGGAAATGCCAGGACTCTGATACGTTGGGTGTGGAAAGCTTCTTCAGCCCACCTGTGTTCAAGGGGGTGGACCGAGTTAACGTGTTGGCACACGAAAAATTCTTCTACATATCCAATTTACTCTGCGACGAAAAGTACATGGTCGATCCTTCATTACCTTACGAGGAATTTTACATTCAAGAGGTAAGTCTATTACCTAAGTAAACACTGTAGCAACTTTTGTAGCTATAATAGGTGCGACTTCTAATGCATTTAAGCAGCTCTCAAACGAGATTTAAAAGTAAAAAAATGACCGTAAATTGAATGTCTTGAACCCGCGACCTTTCGCTACACATAATTTAGCATTTTAACAAATTAGCAATATCGAATACTTATTCTGTTATAGTCGTGATAATAATCTAGAACCGAATAATGAGTTTACAATGTTAACTAATTTAATTTTTGGGATGTGTAATTCCATGTTGAAATAAAAATTCCTAAAAAAAATAATAATGATTCATAGTTCTTTGTTTGAGATAAATATTAGTTAGATAAGACAAGTTTTATGATTGATGATGTTATTATTGTTTTTTCTAACCCTGGGTCTAACATCAAAAGTTTGTCAAACACCATACAAAAACACCGGTTATAGGTAAGTAGTTATAGTTACGATTAAAGTTAATGCGATGCAATTCAGCCTAGTAGGTATATTGTTAGTATGGTTTGTTTGTATCAATAATTTCTTCGAATATTCGAAATCGACTTCAAGTAACATTAATTAATGAGTAAGTAATACTTACTCATCTTTAATACATATAAAATCTCGATGCTATAAGTGCTAAATATAAGGTAAAAAGAAATAACTGCAGCATTAATAAATAAATATCTTCCCGGTGTCTTACATTATCCTACGTAAATGCATATACCTACAAGTTTCCTTAAATGCAAAAAGATCATTTAAATAGCATGATCATTGTGTGTGATTCATTCATCACACGTAACTAGTCATATTCATCCATATTCATCTATAAATTAATTACGCATTTAAAAAAAATATTTCCAGTATTTTGCGTCAATGAAACTTACAAGTATTGAGGAAGGATGTACATTGTATGAAAATGATGATTATAAATGTTAGATTAATTTTAATATGGTAACATGGTATAACAAGTTCGGCAAATAAATGTTCTTTCAGACGCTTCCAAGTTGAAAATACCTTACTAGAATTTCCAACCTGAAAAATACTTCCCAACATATTTTAAAAATTGTTTTTGTTTTAGTACTTACGTAGAGTTTTATGCAAAGTAAATTAATTTACTCCGCAATAATGCATACAGCTAAGTAGGTACTATTTAAGCACTACTTATTTACAGGTCTCTGTCTTTCAAATTAAGGTTGAGGAAAAAGTTATAAAATCGTCCCAATTTTTCGGAAAAACACTATTCAGGATATTGATCTAGTTACATAAGTAGAGTAAGTAACATGGAGAAGGAGAAATAGAAAATTCACGAAAAATTGTAATGAAGAGAGTAGGTAACTATTAGTAAAATAACTAATTACAATTAATAGATGTTAAAAAAGTAAGTACGTGGCCATCGGTGAAAGCTATCAGAGCTGTTTCTTCAATACCTGTAAGCTGAAAAACTGTAACGCTGTAAGTCCACTCCTCAAAATAAATCGCGCTTCAGTGTTTGTTTTATTGAATATTACTTAGGTACTTATTCTTTCTTGTAAACAATAAAAATTTACAATAATTTTCGTTGTCTATCAAAAATAACGTAAGTTCAGTGCAGTGATCACATTACGTTTTAGGCCGTCTATAATGGCTAAATTACTTTGTTTGTCAGAGCAACTAAGGCTGGGTTGTACCATCTTTTTCTTTTAACTAACTATAATAAATAATATAACAAACATCAAAAATCTGCCAAACTCCATACAAATGCTTCATGCTTTCAGAATCTCTCTCGTTGCATACTTTTGTAACAAGATATTAAATAAAAATTACCAACGTGAGGTGGTTTCATCTCGGACTTTATTTGCCATGACTCAAACTTCTAACATTCGGTTGGGGCACAAATACTATTTCATTACTCATTTTGGAAACCAATGACCGACGAAATAACTACGTATTGTTATCTTGTACAATTACGTTACAGAGTACCAACTGAGTACCTACTTACGTGTAGAATGACGTGTAGCTACAGTTGAAATGTAGAGTCCATGTATTGGTATTACTTATTTTGTCAATTAGTGCCTTATTTATATCGCTTTTTCTTAACTTTGTTGCACTCGCAATCAATAAGTTTTATTGAAACTCCTATTTTTGGTCTAGCCTTTACCTTACTTACCTACCTACTTACCTACATTAGATTTAAATAAACTTTATTTACTTAGATAGCCGGCAGAGGTATTTTGTCCGCAATTTATGTTAGTCTTCAAAATATTATTTCCATAATATTTAGGTATGTAATTCTCTTTTAATATAAGAATTAACGTAAGTGCGCCTATTAACGACCCCCCAAAATTTGTATCCTATTACCGCCCTATTTTTCTTTCTTTCATAAAAGACATAAAAACTGGTTCCAGAAAACACGTTACTTAAAAAATATCTAGATATGTTTATTGACTATCAAAACGATTAAAGTTTGTGTTCGTAAATAACCAGTAAACGGAGTTATTTCACATTAAATGGGACGCGCCCGCAACGGACGCACTTTTCATACTGACGCGCTCCCAGCTACTTAAGGTGCACCTTGTTATTAATTAGCGATTTTAACACATTTAAAATGAGTATACCAACATGTTTTTGCATAACAATATTAATTCGTACTTTAGTTTCCTTAATAAACCCTCAATATAGCCCTCTCGCTGTATTTATGTGGCTTAAATACAATTTTAAATAAGGGCGGTAATAGAAACACTTTTCATAATTTGGTTTCTAATACCGACCCATGGCGTTGTTAGAATTTTGATTAAGTTTCTTATTTTAGTATTTATATCTTTAATTACGCATTTAACCTCCACTTTGTTGTCTTGATCGATTCATAAGAATATTTCACATAATTAAATCAATTAACGCCATACATTAATTGTCATAGGTTTGGCATAAAACTGCAATGAACATTAAAGAATATCTCTAATAATGTATGACAATAGATTTTATAAAAACCTGTTAAATTCTAATTAGTACTTATTTGATATAAAATAAAACCTAATAGAAATGATACTTCACTGATCACGTCTTCGTTAAAGTAGATATTTTAGCTGGTTACTGTTTTTTTTTACGGTCGGTAATAGAATAAAGTAATATTCATACTTAATTCTATTACCGCCTCATAATTATAACGCCACCTGCGAAGACTTATAAGCCTGTATTTTGTATATAACTAACATTTATGACATGACACCTAACCAATCATGCGTTATCACAACTACTATGTAACTTTTTAAGATCTTTTGGATTAATAAAAAAAAATTAAAATAATTATATAGACATTGTCCAATTGTCCATAGTTTAAATTAAAATACACAATTACACACAATTAAAATCAAAAACATCAGTCAAAAACGAAAGTCAAATTAAAAATAAAATATTAAATGCAAATTATTTTTTATTAAAAACTCAAATATACATAGTTTAAATAATGACCCCCACTACTCACTAGAAGACCGGGTATCGCGTAATCAAGTATAATTGAGGAATTTATTATTCTACTATTTCTGCTTGATTATTTATTTATTTTCGAGAAGCGTGCCTTTTCTCTTTTAACAATAAAAAAAATAACTTGAAAAAAAAAAACAAATTTAACTAAAACTAAAAGCAAAACAAATTTAACTTAAAAAAATCAAGTGGTTCCCGAGCCTGTGAGCGGGAATCGAACCCGTGCCTCTTGGAATATACCCAATTGAAGAGCAATATTCTTAGCGGTCGGTAATAGAAACAGAAAAAACGTTAATAGAAACACACCTCGTCTATAGGTCGGTAATAGAAACAACTGCTTATTCAGATTAAATTGCTATTTATTAATTATTGTGTGATTGAATACTCATTGTTACTACTTGAATTCAAAGATTACTTCATCATTGTTATAAATAAATTAAAGTGTCTTTTCTATCACCACGTCTTATATCTAATTTTCTAAAGTTTATCCGAAGTCAGCTTAAACTGGCGGTAATAGGCGCATTTACGTTATGTTGCATTAAATAAAATGTCATATTGTATATTATAAGTAGCTTGATGTGTCCTAACTAGAACATTATTAACCACTCAATCGGGACAAAAATAATTTTAGACAAATATAAGTGTGAGCCCGTTCGGCTAACCTATTTTTTGAATGTCCGTTTGCCGTTCATAGAATTATAATATTTGTCTTCGTGATGTTTGTCGCGGAAACTGGCTAAAGCCGCTCTCGATATGATATTTATTTTGCCTCGACCAAGCGGCTATCAAAGAAGATCAAACGATTTTAAAAATTGAAACAAAGTTATAGCTTGTGCCTAGTCCAGTGTTGATAGTTTACGTGGTTTCCATGGAAGTAAAAAGGACGTCTAAAAATTCGTATTTTTAGCCTACAATATAGGTACTTCATCCATTAAAAGATTTATTAAAGTAGTAAAATTCAAAGAAATTTGAAAATTACCAATTTTCTGGAGACCCTTAAATTCCCTCAAATCACCGAGTAGAAAACCCAAAATACACTCTACACTCTGGTACAAGATTGCAAGTAACTTTAAATAAAAGAAATCCAAACTTATAAATTCCCGTAATCAGTCGCTCGCAACCACAGGTTTAGCTTTAGGTTAAGATTAATGTGAAAGGCATTAAATCGCTCAGAGTTTAAGCAATCTTGATAAAGTGAGATACATTTGGCACAAAGGAAGGCGGTAGGCAGGCACAGTGAACGATGCCACAAGCTAACTCTAAGGAGTCTATGTACATATTCTATTGATTTGTTACCTGAATTTCTTTGAACCTATATTTGTATGTGATACAATATCGATTGATGTAATATGGCCTGTTGCCCTAATAGAGACACTAACTTTCGTGATAGATTCGATATTGAAATCGCTTTACAGAGCGAGTTTTGTAGGTACAAAATAACACTGGAATGAAGCGATCGAGAAATCAAATCTGTCTCAATTCAAAACTCATTGATTTAACATATTTTTTAGGTTCCTTATGTTTCACCTGATGATTTTTATGGAGTTTGACAAGACTTTAGTCAATTGTTTAGCTTTTAGTTCGTTATTCTCGCCAAAACTCGAGAACGTTCCGATTTAACTAAAGGTTTAGCGGTTTAAAACAGTTCTTTAACATAAAAGAAAAAAATACGGCGGTACGATGTTCGCCGGGTCAGCCAGCCGGGTAAACATAGGCAGGCCTATCTGTATAGTTTTGATATGATAATAATATACGAGCGAGCCCTTTTAGGGAAATTTAGGTATAGAATGTTGTTACACGTGTCAATATTCCTTCTTTACACAAACCTACGCATTACTTTCTACTCCGAAACCACGCTTTCCAGTTCACTTCAATTTCATGTGTAAATCGGAAAAGCTCCGATAGAATTTCCATGCTTCTATGCAATAAAAAAACGAAACAAAAACATTAACTTTTTTCGTCAAAGCATGCGCTGCAGCGTGAAACGCTCTATTTTGAATTTCCTATTATGGTTTTCAATAAAGGCACGATGTTTGCTATAAAAACCAAAATATTTAGTTTTGTCAAAAATAAATACGAAGTCATTCGTGTTATTGGTTATTTTCTATGGAAAATATTTACACATGCATCGCCAGAAACCTACATTTATGTAACTTGGATTTGTATTCAAAATAAAACTTTGGTTTAAACGCGTGTTTTAGCTGTAAACCCGTTTGCCGGCGGAATGCTAACAAATGTTGGGTCTAAATAATGAGTACGGATTTCATTTTGTTTATTATTGCAAGTGGGTTGTTGTTTTTGCCGGCGTCGGTTGGCCATGAAGATCCCCATGTGTCGGGAAACTTAATCGTATGATGTAAGAAACTGGATGGTCCTGATACCATGGTTCCCATTGCTTGGCGACTAGAGTACTTGTTAGTAGATTGTTGTTGAAGTCTTTTGAATGGGCAATGCAATTTCGGCCTGCTATAGCTTAGTATATTCATGGATAATGTAGCATTCAAATGGCGAAAAAATTTTTGAAATTGTTTCAAGTAGTTTGAGTTTAAAAGTAAATTTATAAACATAACTATAAAAATACAATAAAGCAGAATCCCCTTTACTTTACTGCACTGCACACTTATTAGTACGATACTACACTTGGCAAACATTACTTCTAATTATTAGATGTCAACGGAGCTCTCGAGGTTGTCCAATAATATGTTTACTTTGGGTAAACATTGTGGTAATATGTTGATTTATAGATCCTACACGTAATTATAGTAAATAGTATTTTCCCTGCAAACTATAAATTAATTATTGATGTTTAACAAAGCACCTATTCAAATTCATACAGTAAGAGGGACGCGACGACCTCATAAAGGTAGCAGGAAGGCGTTGGATGCAGACCGTTACCGACCGGGCAATATGGAAATCATTGAGGGAGTCCTACCTATGTTCAGCAGTGGACGTCCTGTGGCTGAAATGACACGACGTAATGCAAGAATAGGTACAGCTGAGTTGGAAATTATTTATATGACGAACACGATCTTAAGAAACTTTTATAATAATTTTATAGAGTCGATAGGGTGGTAGGTACTTATTGTCTTTCAGCGATGAAATGCCGTCTACTCCTGTACAAAGGCCTACCCCAAGGATTTCCAAACCGACTGGTCTATGTAACTGTGTATTAATCTGAACACCTTTTTATTTTAACTCCCAAATTCTTAGCAGTTCTTAATGAAACGTTTATCTAAAAGCTATGTTTAGCATTACGTTACGTCTACAACTTGTTTTTATTTCTGGTAAATCAGTTTCAAACAAATGCGAGTAACTCTCGCCATTGAGCGTTTTTACTTTTTAGTCTTACAAACACGTTAAATCAATTATCAAGCAAACCTCATTTATGTGATTGATACACATCACTGGGTAGCATAAACTAAAAATCAGAAATAATTAGACTGGCTCAAATAAGTACCGAGTTTATTTAAGAGTTCAAAGATTGTTTGTGTCTTATTGAATTTGGGG